TATCTTCATATTTAGAAGAGTCACTTGCACTACTACCTTTTCTAATTTCCTTTTTTTCAGCAGCAACACTGTTTTTACACTTATCGCAGAGGACTTGTTGGGGTTGTAGTTTAATAGCATTTATTATTGAAGTGGGTTCTTCCCGGTACATTTTTCGTTTGGGTGGCTTAATTTTCCGAGGAGGAGGCTGAGGTATTGATTGGTTATTTGTGTCCCTGATAAACAAAGGGGGAGGATAAGGTGCTCCTTCATGGAAGAGAGGTGGTGGTTTGGAAGTCCACAGGCTTTCAGCCAAACTCAGCTCAGGAGGTGGGACAGAAGGATCCTTGGGAACAGCACCATTCATTTCACCCTTGAATTCTGTCCCTTTTTGGAATGTATTACTTTGGAGCTGATGCTGCTTCACGTCAACTGTGTAGGATGACTTTGCTCTCCTGACCTGTAATCCAGCCACCAATTGCAGTAAGTTCATGGCTTCAAGCTCTGTTGTTAACTCTGGATTAAGACCCTACCTTCCAACTGAGTGCTTACTTTCAACTACAGTTCCCACATTAATTAAAGAATTATAGATTAATTCTATAATTCCTTATTCTCCAGAAAGAAGAGTTGTCCATAAGAGAGTTGAACAATTACTTCCTTAGGAAACTCAGTGACACTTCTGATTACAAATGTTGAGCTGAAGATCGGAAGATTTTGTTAGTGGGTGCATTTAATTTGTTGAGTCTTTCATGATATCATGTGCTTCATTGTCTTGATAAATAAAATATGGCTTTGAGATTATCTGGAATTCTGAAATACAAATATCACCATTTATTAAAAAAATCTCAATGTTCTCCACTTTTTAAAAGTAGCATTATTGTGGGATAGCATCGAGTTAAAATGTTTCTTTACAGCAAAGGAAATAATCAAGAACATGAAGAGAGAGCATACAGAATGGGAGAAAATCTTTTGCCACCTGCATCTTAGATAGAATACTTATTTCCAGGATATATAAAAGACTTGAAAAACTTAATGCCAAAAATCCTAAATAATTCAATTAATAAATGGACAAAGAAACTGAACAAATACTTATCAGAAAAAGAAATACAAGAATTACAGCCTCTTGGACAGGAGTCCCCTGTGCTTCTCCTTTGCTAGCAAAGAAATAAACTTTTTTTACTTTTTCTCAAAACCATGTCCCCATTATTGGATTGGCATCAGGAACAAGAACTGAGTTTTCAGTAACAAATTTTATATTCTTGGTGAGACCTGAGAAGAGTCTCTGCTCTACATTTCTTGGGCAGATCTGGCTCTCTAAGGAACCTTATTTCCATGCTGAGGATGCAGGGTGGCTAGAGAACTTGTTGAGAGCCAATTATAGGAGAATAAGGAGACAGGTAAGTCAGGTGAAAACAGAGGAGCTATTTCTGTGAGTAAAGGGAGGGACTGAGAGATTATCCCAGCAGCTGCTGAAGCTCCTTCTGCTTTTGGGAACTTCAAACTTCCTTCCCTGAATGATACAGATTGCTCCATCATGGTCCACTTTGAGAAAAATGAAACTGAACTCCATAAGTTTGTGACACCCTTAGTCATCTGGTAAGTCCCCTGTTATGCATGCCAAGACCCTTGATCCTACATGTCTGTTTTCATGGGAACATCTGGTTTCTCATTGTCCCCACAAATATCTGGTTTCTCTTTGGCACCATGGGTGCAGAGCCAGAAACTCAGGATGGTCAGAGTGCTTATACAATGGACCAAGGTACTTCAGGGAGAGAATTAGATGGATAGAAAATTCTCTGTGTTTAGTGGGTTTTGCTCATTTTCTAAATATTTGCTTATTATGCAGCATTGTGAGGCATACACATGAGAGTGTAGTTACACCACCACTCTTGAAACATACTTATTCTGGCTCCCCTAGAACCATGTAAGTGGATTTTAAAACTTATGTAGATCAGACATGTAGAGCTACTGAGGAATTTGTCAATATTTACTTGGAGACAATGGTCAAAATAAGAAGAAGCAAGCTATCCAGTCCCAGCCTAGAGTTCTTGATGTGATCAGTGGAGCCATGAAGTTTGATGGAAACAAACAACATTACTTCAATCAGAAATTTCTGATGATTGCTCAATCCACTCCTACTAGCACTGTGTGGGAGATTGCTAATGATTGCTTTCATTTTCAAGATTGGGCTAGTCATTAAATAGGCAAAAGGTCTATTATTTGTTCTGTTAGTTCCTGAGGCAGAGGTCTGTGTGAATTAGTTCATTTAATTAGAAAAAACATTGTAAACCAGTTTGTGCTGAAATTAAGTTCTTCAATATGTTTTTTTTTATTCCTCACAACACCTTTTCTGGCAGCTGCCAGTTTATTGCCCTTAAGAGCTTTAATATTAGTTTTTTACAAGCCTTATATACATTCACTAATGCCATTATTAAACTAATAGTAATATATCATCTTAGTACTAACATACTCACTGTGAACCCAGCCAATCACAAAAATGGAATCCTTTTGTAGTAGTATCTGGAGTATCAGCACAATATATCTATATGGGAGTAAGTGAAATTTTTTTGTTTCTGTTGTTGTTGTTGTTGTTGTTGTTGTTGTGGTTAATAGGTTAATTTTTTTTAATAAAGCACAAGCCTATTTTCAGTTAACACTGATAATGTAATTGGAATATATAGTATAGTTTTTCAGTTTATAACTACTATGACATGTTAGAATTGCATGTGGAATAGTTAATAGATTTTTCATGTTATATTTTCTTATTTTGAGTTGTTACTTTATAAGTGAATTGATAACTAGATAGATTAAAAAATGTTTTCAATTGACACCTGAATTTGGGGTGTATTTGGTGGATTAAAATTTCTTAAAAACATGTATCTTGGCAGCTCCAGGTCTAGAAATTTCGGTAATGAATGGTAGAAGAACTAATAGCTTCAATGGGAGAATGAGAAATGAAAAATGTAGAAATATCCAAGGTGAAGCCAAAAGTAAAGGGGGTGACCAAATGGTAAATTTTTTGTACTTGTTTACTACCTCCTAAAAATATAACCTATTTTTAAGATTTAAATTACTGTTAATATTTATTCTTGCTAAATGTAATGATTCTCACTTTTGTTCTAATAATAATTTTTTAACATCTTGACAATTCCCCTTATACTTATCACCATTATATATCTCTGTTTATTCAAGAAATTATGGGTTGGATGTCAGCTATAAGTCTAACCTTGTAACAGGGTTTGAGGAAAGTTGGAAACAAAGCCATTGTTATCTCTTTATGTCACCCGTAAGTTTTCCAGTGAACTTTAAGTTGAAATATTCCTATGTATTAACCACCCCCAAAATGAGTGACTTCCTTCCTCCATACTTTGTACTGTCAACTGTATTATATATTATTTAAAGTTAATTTTATTTAGTTCATGATTCGTTTTTCCATATGGCATTGGGCACATTTATTTTAAAAAATGTTTCTGTTATATGACTTTCTCATCACCACTTTTGAGATAAAAATAGAGAAAAATGGATCTTCATGATAAACTTCAAAAGAACAAATTGATGAATTTTGTCTTGACTACATAAGAGGGAAAGAAAAAATACTTAGCTCTCATTATTGGTCAACCTTTGTTGAGGGCCATTGCCAAGTAGGAATGATGCATCGAAATTTCCTTGCCAGCGTACCCCATGTTAAATGGAAATTTGCTATGACATTGCATGTGTCTTTGAGAAAGGTGATCCTGCTCAAGGACCAGGGTGGATCCAGGTTTAAGGTGTATCCTGCAGGTTTTAGGAAGTATCCTGGTTTAAGACAATTTGGGTTTAAGGCGTTCCCGGTTTAAGAAAATCTGGGTTTAGGGAAGTTCCAGGTTTAAGGTTATTGCTGCTGGGTATAGGGCGTTCCTGCTGCCTGAGTTCCCGTTGAGTTTTCATGGAATGGAGAAAGTATTTGGGATGTGAATTGGGCGGGAGAGCAGGGATTTCCCCAGAACGTGATTGTACAGGGCTGGTGTGAGTTCGAGAACAAAGAATGGCTGTTTGAATCTACAAGGTGTGTGGTGGCTCGTGATCTTGTGCCCAGCCAAGACTG